TTATTTGAATGTGTAATTGTGATGTCTGAAAGATATATGTGATACCTGGAAAAGATATAGATATATGTGATACCTGGAAATGTGCTGGTTTAGGAGTGTGAGTTTGTGTACAGAGAAAGAGTTTGACACAATAACAAATATATATATGTGTGTGTGTGTATATATATATATATTGAATGATCTAAAATTCATTGAATTCGAAAACAAGTTTTTCTAATACTTGCACAATAGCTGCAGAGTAAGATATAATAATTTATTTACTGGTGTTTGGTGTATTTAATTATGGCAAAGCACACGAGGGCTATCTGCCTAAAGGGAGGGATGCCTTCGTGGAGGACTTTCTAAGGGAAACTGGCTCGTATACACATTACACATGGGGAAAACCACGAAAACGCCCATGCAGCCAGCCCGTTTGCGGGATTCGAACCTCGGACCGAACTACCAGTGTTCAGCGACTTTACCGTTCGGCCGCTGGTAAGCTAATTTATTTACTAAAGAAATATTGATTATATTACCTCCTAATATAAATTTAGTACAAAGTATCAAAATGAGGGAACCCATAAGTAGGAAGTTTAATTCCGAAAATTATGTGTAATTTTCAGAAACAATTTTCAGAATTAAACTTCCTACTTATGGGTTCCCTCCTTTTGATACATTCTACTAAATTTATATTAGGAGGTAATATAATCAATATTTTTTTAGTAAATAAATTAAAATTTAAGTTTCAAAATGCTGTAAAAAAGAACCATTGATCAGAATGATGTCAAATTTGAAGGAAATATTATCAAAGAAGGGAGAAAAGGTACGGCAGAAGAAAAATAAATAGTTCAAAATTTTAGCAAGAGATGGTACTATGGTAAGCATCATAACTTAAAAGGGTTTGACTGCAGATGAGAAGTGAATTGTAAAACAACGGTTAAGGTGCAAGTTACACATTAAACCAACTGTACCGTTCAGTGCGCATGACTGTACATGTGTGAAACTGTTAGATATCTAAGTATATCTACCACAGTAAGGTCGTATCACACGGGATGGGAAAAATGGGTTTTTAATTATTCTGAGTCCAAAACTTGCATAAAAAGCCTCAATCAAATCAGGTTTTAATTTTCATGAGACTGGCACAAAACATGTTCAGTATGCTGTCCACTGTTTTCAACAAGAAGTTGAAATTGAGAAATTCAGCTAAGTTTGAAATCAGAGCATTGAACACAATATCTTTCAGATAGCCACACAGCCAAATAACACATGGATTAAGATCAGGTGATTGGGACGGCCATGCTGTAAGGAAATGAAGGAAATTCTACCATTTCCGAAATGCCGCTTCAGCATCTGTTTCACTGGATTTATAATGTGCAGAGGAGTGCCATCTTGCTTACAAATGATCTTCTCATCAACACATCCCCATTGTTGAAGATATGGAATGACGTGGTTGCACAAAAGACTCTCATAGCACTTACCAGTGACGGTACAATAACAGGACTGAAAGCATCTGTCTTCTCAAATAATAATAATAATAATAAAAGATCTGAAAGCTTTCAGATTTTACATTATGTCCAAAGGGGCTTTTTTTTTTTTTTTAAATTTAGTGCCTTACACCTCTATTTATTACATATTATGTTCTTCGCATTTAAACCATAAAATTCAATTCAAAAGCAATATCGTAAAATTATTTTACAATGAGCATATCTTTAGAATTTTTTGTACAGTCTTGTGTGCTGGTGATAAAAATGTTTTTCCCCCCTACAGTGTTGCCATTTGCTCTCTTTGAAATTGTTGAGTTTGTTAATCAAAAATTCATTAAAGTGTTAGAAAATATGAAATCGATAATAAAACAAATTCAGGCTTCCAGATGCCCATATTTGGTGCAGGATTACGTTATTCAAAAGTTGATGGCTCTAGGTACTGTTGTTTTATCACAACGTGAGACACATACATACATTTATGCAGATTCTTCATTATTTAATTTCTTTAAATATAAAACATGGGCAATAATATTTCGTGGCAACAATTTGAAAAAAGAAATGGACATTTAAAGTTTGTCACGCAAAATGCCAAAATGAAATTAATAGCCCTTCTGAGCTAATGAATGCCCTTTGGGCTAAATATGGCAGGCTCTATGATAAAGGATGCCGTAAACCCACACCACACAGTGATCTTTGCAGAATGCAGCAGTACTGGTTGAATTGCGAGTGGATTTTCTGTTGCCCATACTCTACAATTATATTTATTGACAAAGCCTTGGAGACAGAAATGTCCTCAAAATCTTCCACAGCCATTCATTGTCCATTTCCATGCGAGAAGAATTATAAAGCAAAAGCCTCTGTTGCTTGCAGGTCAGCAGGAAACAATTCCTGCACATGGATAATTCTGTATGGATAGCAATGAAAGATGTTTTGTAGAATTTTACGCACCGTGCTGACAGGCATGGCCAATGTTCGTGTAATTCCCTGTGTACTGCATGGTTGTATACCACCGCTCAACTCTTCCTGCACTGGTGTGGCCACTTCTTCAACTGACATCGAACCAATTCTTTTCATTCCTGTACCAGACTGCACATCAAACGAATTTGTCTTTTCGAATTTCTGAATGATTTTCTCCAGTCTAGGACAGTCATTGGACCAATGCCTTTTTCCATACCCTTGAGATACAGAACTTCTAGAGAGCTACTGATGCACAGTCATCGTTCTTGTTAAAAACTTTACAAGTAGAAAGTGATCCTTCATTGACACAGTCATGGCGAAGTTCTCAGAAGCAAAATGAGGAAAAGCCGCATACCCAGCGTTTTTATAACAGCTGCAATGACTCGTGCACATGACAAGTATTTTCATTTACATATTCTGACCCTTTCAACACCGTTTACTGATAAAATTTTTAACTATTTATTTTTCTTCTGTTATATGTTTTCCCCCTTTTTTGATAATATGCCATTCAAATTCAAGTTACGCTGATCAGTGGTTCTTTTTTTTTTTTTTTTTTTTTTTTTTTTTTTTAGCGTTTTGAAATTTAAACTTTATTTATAGCTCTGTATATATAACATTTCACCAGCTTTTAATGACTAATATTTACATTAAAAAAAAAAAAAAATTAGGGAGATGGAAGGGCGCTTCCCTACAACCAACTGGCTATGGCCAAGGCTGGCTGTTGTTGGACCTAGTCCTGTTTGATTGGTATAATGAACTAGCTGCTCCTGATTTAGTTTCAGTTAGTTATTTTAATGACAATGTTTGCTATTAGAGGGTGCCTGTGAAGCCAGTGTTCATCTAGATTTCTGCTGCCAGTCAGGACAGAACCTGCAATCCTGTGCTTTGCAGCATGGTGCTGTTACTGATTACTCTTAAAACAGCTATATTAGAGGAAGCCATACATAACAATTTTTCTTCGTGGATTTCAGTTGCAATACCTCTCCATATTCATGTTTTTATATTTAATGGGCATTTTCGACATGTCTTGCTATACAAGCATCCTCGATGCAGCATTACATAACAATTTTAACGATTTAAATATGATGCCGTTATGAATATTGTACATGTGTAAATAATTTTAGTGAAATTGTATATGAAATTAAAATATTTTTTGTATAATGTAATATGAAATGCTTGAAAGAGACGAAGCTCTGCTGGAAAAATAAGAATACAGGGGTAAGTCTATTTAACATTGAGTAAATAGCTATCTTGCTAAATTGACAAGATATTGCCAAGCTGGTGATGGTCTTGGTGACTAATGTTTGGTACCACATTTTGGCAAGAAATCACCAAAACTCCAACACTTGGGTCTGGTCAATGTATAACTGTAATTGAATAATTGTAATTGGTATCTATATGTACCTGTAACTGTATCTAACCCTCATATGCATTCCAGTAATTTCAAGGAGTGAACAGTACTATAGAAGACTAGAAAGAATATCAGCTCTCAGGTTTTTATCAGTAGTTAGTTCAGAGTGATTTCAGAGTACTGAGATCTGTGACAGCTTTGCATATTATATGCGTTTTGCATTGCCTTGTGTTTAACGTCTTAGTAGTTTATAGTGTAACTACTGATTATGCTCTGTGATACTGAAAAGAGCCGTACAAGTGCTTTTATGAAAAGTTCTAGAACTGTGAAGTGTTTCTTTTGGCAAAAGTACATTTTATCAAGCTATCATTGGTTGTGTTGTGCATTCAATCTATTACGAACCTGTACGCAAGCAACAACATAATTGAAGTCTTGCTTTAAAAAATGAAACTCTAAAAAAAGATCATAAACAGCCTTAAAAACTTCTGTGATGATAAAACATAAATTCATGTTCACTATGATGAAAGAAAATGAAATTTCCAACAAAACTTTAACATGTTTTCATATATTTTAATTAATATTTAAATAAAATGAAATCGATCATAATCAGTCTTAAAAAACACAAACCAAACTTAAGTAAAAAAGTACAGGGTCATCAAAAAAGAAAAGAATGCTGGGAATACAAAATAGTATTATGGAAAAAATAAACTTATATGCATGTAAATATTTTACTATGATACTCAGAAATGCATAACATTTCATATACATTTCAGTCCATTTCATTATAAGACTCATTAGTTGCTCGATAGACATTTTGATGTATGTTTTGATATAAGCTTGATGACAACACTCAGTTTCAGTTCCTATCTTTTGTAGCATTTCCGGAGTTACAACATCAATTGCAGCTATTATTCAACATTTTAGGTGTCTGCTATTGGTAATATTTTCACTGTAAACAATATTCTTCATGAAGAAGTTCAAAGTTGTAAGGTATGGACTTCATGGAGGCCATGGAATTGAGTCACTCTGTAAAATTATTTGTAGAATTCTTGGATTGGATAGGGAGCAGAATTAGTGATCAGAGATAAAACTTATTTTCCATGCACAATTTCAACACAAGAATTGTTTCCCTAAGTTTAAAATTCATTATATAATAACGTTGCAAAATACCAGCAATCTTTTTCAATGACCCTGTATTTCAAAATATATAAACACATAAGCAAACTTACGAGCTCCAAAAATTTGTGCTAAAATACTTTTTTGATGATTAGTATCAATATTATATGGAGTTTCCCCAGCTCTGTTTGGTCTATAAAGTAACTGACTGTTCTTTGGATTACGAAGAAGAATTTCCACAATTGCTTTGCTTCTTGCTCTCATTGCAATATGTAGTGCTGTGTCACCTTTCTAGAATATCAAAATCAAAGTAAAATTACAAAGTTCATGCCATGCTGAAGATAAACTTAAAAAAAAAAAATAAAAAAATAAAAAATAATAATAATAATAATAATAATCCCTGAAATATATTGAAGAAGGCAATTTATAGTTAACTTCTGTAAATGATATGGATTAGATGAAATAAAATGAGATCCTGTGGTCCAACAGTTGATTCAATTACCTTACATTTACTATAACTGATAAATGCTTTGTAAAGATATTATTGACATGCCTAAATAATGTTTCTTTGATAGTGAATTTTGGACATAATGACTTCAAATTACATCAAAATATAAACAAAAATCATTTTAGTTTATAATTTTCTAAATGTCTTAAATTCCTAAAAGACAAATTTTTAAATGCATAAAGAGCAAACTTAGATTGGCACACACTTTGAATAAAACTCTATTGATTTTGAGGGACTTATATATGATTGCTCTCGAAATCATAAGAGTTTTATTTAATACCTATACCAATCAAAAATTTTTTTTAGCCTAATTTAAAATTCTATATTCACATGCATCTCATTCAAATTTCTTACTTTTGAGAAAAAAAAAAAAAAAAAAATTGTTGTCCCCCCCAGTAATGCAACTTTTCTTATCTAAATGGAGCTTAAGGAACCTCTTGTGTAATAATGAAGTTGTAGTGTAATATAATATGCAATAAATTAATCTTTCACATGTTTTTACATTTTAAATATTTTAATGTATTAAGTTTTAAATTATATAAAAATATTCTCATGAATAAATTTCAATTACTACTGTTTAAAAAAAATAACTTATTAAACACAAATTAGACATTTCTTTAGCATACAGCTACTTATAAGAGACTAAAAACTACAACCAGAACAACATTCTAAATTATTTAATACATGGCTCTATTTTAAGATAAATATCCCTTAAATTAACAAGCAAATAAATAAAAATTACTTTATCTGCAGCAGATACACGACACTTTTTGTCAACTAGTAACTGCACAATTTCTGCACTTCGATTTCGAGTTGCTTTCAGTAGAGGAGTATCACCATCCTAAAAATAATCAAGTCAATAAATAACAGGATTAAAATCAAATTTTTTAAATTATATATGTAAATACTTCATACTGTGTTAGCCCTGTTTAAAAATTAGGGCTGTGGAGTTGGAGTCAGGCAGATTTTCGGGTAAAAAGTGACGGAGCTGGAATAGCTAAAAATGGGTCAATCCCGACTTCAGTTTTTGTTGGACAGTTTGAATTTTGAAATGAAATTAAAGTGAATTGAAAAAAAAATAATAATGACACACTGAGTTATTATGTTTATTTATGAACTATATACATTAATAAATAGTTATTTTCTATTTTACTGAAATACTAATAAATATAAGGGAGGAGGATGCATGTGATATTTGCCATTACTGATCAAACTCATTCATTTAGTTACTTCATTTAGCTACAAATCTCACTGGTAAATTTAGGTAAGCAGCAAGCAGCAAGAACTCCCAAAAATTGATGCCATTCTTAGGAAGCGAGCAAGAAAAGGAGCAATTATTGATCAAGCAGTGTGAAAAGGAAGTACATATTTGATGATAAAGAGTTTTTTTTTTAAATTAAGAACTTTTTTAGAAGATGTAGATAACCCTAATGTTTCACTAACAGAAAGACTGTGGAATGATCTTGCAGAATTGGAAACTCGTCTTTCTACACCATATATAGCCACAAAAAAGCTACAATTTGAAGAATTAACAGGAGGCGAGAATGGAAGAATGTGATGTTTGCTCTTTTTGAAATAGAGGTTTAGCAGAAGCAATGAAGAAAAGAGAAACTAGTCTGATAGACAATTCAACAAGAGAACTACATATATTGAACCCCAACAAGAGATTTTGTTGGGATTCAATATATGTAGATTCAAAACACCAAATTTTGTTGGATGACGAACAAGTTAACAGCCACCTATGAACTTTCAATAAGAATGAAATTATTTTTAGAACAAGTGGAGTATTCAAATTAGGACAATCAAACTGCAGACATTGCAAACAAGTCTCTATCATCTTCTTCCAGTGATGTATTAGATTTTAAGACATATTTTTGGATAATATTGAAAAGGCAAAGTGAATGAAAATAAAGAACCAAAGAGCCTTTAGATATAAAAAAAAAAAAAAAAAAAAAAAAAAAAAAAAAATCTGAAATGTTTCAGATTTTAAATTACGTCTAAAGAGGCGTTTTTTAACATTTTGTGTGTTACCTTTCTTTATTAAATATCATGTTCCTCGCACTTAAACCATAAGATCCAGTGCAACAGCAATATCGCAAATAGTTTTTAAAACGAGCATATCTTTAGAATTTCCGATACAGAGACTCACGCGCTGGAGATAAAAATGTTTTTTTCTGCACAACGTTGCCATTGCTCGCTTTGAAATCCTTGAGTTTGTTAATCAAAATTCGTCAAAGTTTTAAAAAATAGGAAATCGATCATAAACAAATTCAAATTTCAAATTTGGTCTTCCACATGCTCATATTCGTTGGAGGATTACGTTATTCAAAATTCGATGACTCTATGTACCGTTGTTTTATGACAATGCGAGAAATATACATACATTTACGCAGATTTTTCATTATTTAATTTCTTCAAATATAATGCCAGGACTCTAACATTTTATGGCAACAGTTTGAAAAGTGAACCGACATTTATGAGTCCGACGCAAAATGCCAAAACGAAACTAATAGTCCTTCGGGATTCAAATCCCTTTGGACTAAAAAAAAAGATTTCTACACGGCCTTTAAAGGAATAGAGAAATATGATTGCTCTTGCAAGACACCTCTTTTAGAGCTTATAAAAATCTATCCTGAAAAGTTAAAAGAAGTAGCCCTAACAGTAACAGCTCTTCCTCCTACTCAAGTCAGTGTGGAAAGACTCTTCTCCGCTCTGAAGTTTATCAAATTGGATCTATGGTTCTCCAACAAAGAAGATCTTGCCGAAGCTATACTGTTTCTTTGAAATAACTAATGCCTTCCATTTCATAATAAATGCTAATTAATATAAATAATTTGCTATACCATACATTTTTTTTTCCTGTAGCATCTATTTCTTCTTTTATGTTAAAAAAAATAAGCCATAACCCATGTATATATATTTACATATATGAGGGAGTTGGAGTCTTTAAAATTCCAGGAGTCGGTCATTTTCCCTACCAACTCCACAACCCTGTTAAAAATTTTAGTAAGTAATGAAATATAATAATAAAAAAAGTATGCTAATGTAACTACTATGATACATATATTCAGTGCAATATATAAACATAATTTACATAACAGCTATTCAGTTTTTATCTTTATGCATAAGTTTATACTTTGAAAAAATTTCAAATATAATTTTAACAGGGTTCGTACACATTTCTGCACATGGAAATCAAGTACTTTTAAGGACTTTTAAGAACCATTAATGAAAAAAATTAAGGATCCATCAACAAATGGGAACTGAATAAATTGAATTAAAGATGCCATGCCTGAACTTTACTTAAGTGATACCATTCTAAGAATAAAATAGATCCACGAGTAGAATGCATTATTATTAAACATAATTTAATAAATAATTACCTTAATTTAATAAATAATTTAATAATTAAACATAATTTAACAATTATAAATCAAAGTTGGGAATAAAATAAACTTTATTAAATTTATCAAGTAGCATTAAATATTTTACCTTTATAATAGTTGGACATATCTGATAGAAGATTAATGACATTTTATTTACATTTTACTAATTTAGCTTTATACTGATATTTTTCTTTTATGTCTCATTTTGTCACGTATTTGCTCAGTTTAGAGGCTAAGTAAATAGCGGGTAGATTTTATGTTAAACGCCATAGGTTAAAATGAGAAGCAAAATTATAATCAGCATGACTCCCTTACAGAAAACTGACTGACTGTTGTTACTGCTACTGCTTGCCTAGAGAGAGGCCTGCTGACAAAAAAAACATGAAAGCCTTATTCTAGGGCCACTTGGCAAGTTCTGAAAGTTGTCAGAGCACACTTTATGTTATAACTTCATGTAGAGTTCCTGGGGTTGTAACCCAGTTAATATATTTTAAGGTTCCAATAAGCCACTAAAGCATCAGAGGTGATAAGCTGTTTTGTATTAATTTAAGTCTCACTAGATGTAAAGAATTAAGTTTCACGTTAATTTTTACATTTTGTGCTGTTCCTTGTGACCACGGTAAAAATTAATGAAAGGCAATAACTCAGTTTAATATGCACAGATAATTTTTAAGGGTGACAAGTTACTAATAATTATGTTAGTTAGTCATTATAGATTTACATAGTTACTATTAAATTTTTTTAAAAATATTTGTTAAAAAAGCACTATTAAAATCACAATCAATTAACATGTCACAGTTTAAAATACATGTTATTTATGACATTGATCCTTAAACGATATTAAAATGATTCTTAAACGATACACATTAAAAGCTACAAAACATTTACGTTTTGTAGCAACAGTACTTGGCAAAATATTTGAGCGTCTTTTTTTATTTGAAGCCTTTCCAGACATTCTATTATATCAATTTCCTTCGTTTTAAAAGCATCTTTTATAACTATAAGAAATTTGTTTCAATATGCAAAAAAATATTCTCACTAGTTTTTCATGTTTTATCTCCTAACTTCACAATCTCTCAATAAAGTACCTGTGAGGTTTTACTTGATCTCGTAAATGTTAAATAGTCCCAAACCCCTGATAGACATGAAGCAAATTATTGCTATATCTAAAGGTAACTACAAAGTCAGATAAAGGTTCAAAAAAGCTACCTCTTTTTAAAAAGACCTTAGAACATAAAGGCATGTTCTTATGCTAGCAAAATCAACTACAGCTTATGGTGATCCAATTAAACAGTAACAGTCAAATTCAAACTAAAAATGTGGACTAACGGTTAAAGACCAGACAATTTAATTTTAATCTAAGCTGGCTCAATAGTAACATGCCTTAACAAACTCGTAACTCATCATAACCTAGTTATTGTGTAACAAATTCAAGTATCGGCAACGATAATGCAAAAACAAATAATTACAAATTATCAGAGCTGGTAGGAATTAATTCAGGGTGTAAGCAGAGGGAAGAAACAAATTCTGTCTTACAACTCCACAACCTTAGTTTAAAAATTATGTAGGCAATTTTCATTTTGGTGAGGAAACGGAAAGGAAAAATTATAGCAAAGGCTGAAATTATACACAACTGCTTAATTTACATAATAACAACTGTACATATCTTTGAAGAATAATTTTCTTTCTTTTTCAATACTTTTACTTCAATACTTTCAATAATTCTTTTCTTTCTTTTTCAATACTTTCAATGCTTTCAATACCATTTCTTTTTTCAATATGTTTCCTCTTCATTTTAAAATTTTTGGATTTAATTAAAGATTTCTGTTATTCTAAAAAAGTAAATGCACATAGATTTTATAGGAAAATGTGCTAATTTTATTTCTTTAGTGATGTGAACATTCAGAATAAATATAAAATGATATTTGGTATGGGCTGGTTGCAGAGCCGATGTAGTAGAATTTTTAGAATTTAGTGACACACCGAGCAATAAAATCAAGAAATGGCAAAATTTTAGAATTTAAGATCCAGAGAGATTGCATCAGGTAGGAAAATGCATAATGCCAGCCCTGTGTATGATGCACAAAGCTGTAACTAAGGTTTTCAGTGTCCAGGGACAATTGAAGATTTTGCACCCCCTCCTGTATGCCAAGAATGAAAAACATTTCATTCTAAAATTTTGTAACATCGATTTAGCATCCCATGGATGCTGCGTCCATGAACAGACGTCCTCCCTTGCCCCACTCAAACTACGCCACTGACGATGCATTGAAACATATAAGATTAATCTTTTAAATTGTCAGTTTTTCAATTTCTTTATTAATAGAAAAATTCCTTTCTATAAATTGCTTGTCCATGTGATAAGATTAGAAGCATTTTTGATATTTTCCATGCCTGTATCTAGTGAAAAGTAGAGAAAACAATGGGAAGATAAACATATTAAAAAAAAAAAAAAAAAAAAATCTAGTATCAGAAATAAAACATTTAAATATTACGTTGTCCTTGTTTTTCAGAAAATTCTCCCAAAAGTAAAAGTTTATCACAAACTTTCTGTAAAATACATCCATTGCGTGTTAATACCATGAAGACATTTGTCTGGAATCTTCTAGATTCGTGGGACCGTAAATCTTGCCTTAAAATCCTTCTAAACATTGCAAGTTGCAGAGTCAAAAATCCTGAAAAAAATTACCTCAACCAATTCTGTAACAGCAAAAAGGCTGAAATATTTTTTAAAAAATCAGAGGGAAAAGTATAAAATTAATTTCATAGAGAAAACTGACGCATGTTGAGACAACTACATGGAAAAAACTTTCACCATGAACAAATTACAACGAAGGCAGTTTTAATTAATTACATAGCTATTTTTCTTTTGCTAAGAATTGTTTTATAAATTGTGCTAAAGTGTTTATTACCTTGTTTATTTTTCAGATTCAAAATATTGTATAATAAGTCGCTAAAATCGAAAGTAATGTCACTTTATATGATAGCGAAAAATAAAAATGTTTAAGTTTAATGTTATTTCGTGAATAAAATTTCAATGTATTAGCATTATTTTAATGAAATTGGTCAAAGTTATAATATTTTAAAAAAATATCATCGAAAAATTCCCAGATTTCGGAATTAAAAGTTTTCTATAGAAATTGACCTTAAAATCGCTAAAATACTGATAAGTCGCCAAATTTGAAACCATCTAATAAAGAATTTACATTCCCAAACATGAAATGTTGTTTAAGAGCTCTTCATAAAAAAAAATGAAATAATTTTGAAATGCTTATGTTTCACTTCTTGCTCAGAAACTTGAGTATCCCACCGTTTATATTAGAAATAGAAACAAATTATAACCCATGAACCTATTCACCCATTTTGTCAATGAATCGCCAAAAATATTTGTCCAAAATGCTAATTCACATTCATAATGGCAGTCATAAAAACAGATAGAAATTTCAGATAATTAAAAATTAAGGACCTCCTGCCGAATTTCGTTGAAATTAAGGACTTTTTAAGGACCAAAAATCGATTCCAAAAAACTTAAGGACTTTTAAGGACTCTTAAGGACCTGTTTAACAGATGCTTAATTGTAATAAAAACAACTGTAAACTAGGCAGATAAATATCTTGATTATGAACAAGACAACTGTTGTTCATTTGCTACAGCAGTATACAAAGTGCCTATAAAGTATTATTGTAATAAAAACACAACTGTAAACTAGGCAGATAAATATCTTTTGTTCATTTGCTACAGCAGTATACAACTTGCCTATAAAGTATTAAAGAGATTAGCCTTTTTAATAGTTGCTGGAATATCCACTGAAGAATAATTTACCTTTTCCTCTTTCCTGCTCCATCTAATTACACACGTGACTCGTTATCAAATATCAAACCACTTTAAAAAACTATAAAAGAAAAAGATATTAATATAATTAAATTAAATAATTACCTTTGTTGCTATTTCACAATTCGGATTGGCACTTAAAAGCAGTCGCACAATGTCAACATAGCTCTTTTCTATGGCCCAATACAAGGCAGTTTTACCATCCTAAAATGACAGAGATATTTACTTACATAACTTGTACACACAAGCAAACAATTAACAATTTGAATATTTGATAGTAATTTTGGTACTTACGTACTAATGTAACCACTTTGGCACAATTTATCGATCTTTTACATGTGAAAAAGAATTATGATATAATTCATCATTCAATCTCAAAAATTTAATTATTACATATATATTTTATATTCTAATTAGGTATGCATACCAACAGATCAATCATTAAATTTACTTATGAGGTGATTTTTATTTATTTATTTTTTTTTTCTTTAGTGGAAATTTCATGGTAATCACATTAACAATATATTCAAAATACTTGTTCCCTTTAAAGATTTTGCAGAAAAATACTTTTATTTTTACAGAAGTTTTACTGCAGTTTGTTGCATTGCTGGCAAACTCCACAAGCATAGATTTTAAAACTGAATTTAAGGTGAAAAATATTATGGTTTGTCCATGAAAATTGTCCTAACTTGGAATAAAACAAAAAGAATGCATATGAAAATGGCCACATTGCCTGACTGAAAAGTTATGAGTATGGTTGGCTGAAGAAATGTTATGCACATAACTGCCACAGTTTGAAAAATTTTGAAAATTTGGCACCATCTAATAAGGTGGTTGCACTAATACCTAAGTACCATAATTTTTTACACCAGCAGCTCTGATTCTACACTCATGTCCATAAATTAAGGATAATTCGGAGTCACGCGGAAATCGAACTCTAAAATAAATATATCACCTGTAAAATCACTACACATATCTTCAAGAATCATATATCAAATTTCAGGAAGTAACCAGATGACACCGATGGTACATCACAATGATGAGAGTGTAAGAGAGTGATACATAAGGAATACAGGCAAAGAAGTAAAATTTTTCACAGGCACTCTATAAGCATTTTAGTGCAATAACTGAATAGTTATGACACAAAGGACGCATTTGGATGATTTTTTAAGTGGTAGAATTGTCGGCCGTCTGGAATGTGGGCGTACCCAACTGGAAGTATCAGACGAACTTGGAATTGCCCAGAGTGTCATCTCCAGGCTTTGGCAACGGTTTGAAGATGATGGTAATGGGAGTAGACGTTACAGCACAGGTCGCCCAGTGTTACAACGCCGAATAAGGACTGGTATTTGGCAGTTATTGCCAAAAGAAACCAGCGGAGCACAGCCTCAGACCTGTCTCGTCAGCCACTGGTACAACAATTTCAAGGCAGACCATGTACAGACGCTTAGGGCAGATTGTTTATATGCTCGTAGACCTGTCAGATGCGTTCCACTTACTGCAACTCACTGTCGCCTGGAGTACAGAGCATGCAGTGCGGACACCGCAACAGTGGGCTTGTGTGATGTTTTCCGATTCTGATTCTCGCCAGACTTTCATATGGAGAACTCCAGGTACCTGTTACCACCAAGAAAACATCATTGAACGACACCGTTACGGTGGTGCAGGAGTGCTCGTTTGGGGTGGAATTATTCTGGGTTCCAGAACTGACCTGCATGTTTAAATTGGAACCATGACAACCCAAATCTATCGGGACGTCATTCTGGAACAACATGTATGTTTATTTCGGGGCGCCATGGGCGCACAATTTGTGTTTATGGATGACAACACCCGTCCTTAACATGCAAACATCGTAAGCGAATGCCTTCAATCGGAGGATATCACCCGTATGGACTGGCCGGCATTCTCACCGGACTTGAATCCAACAGAGCACGTGTGCGACATGCTTGGCCGACGAGTTGCAGCCCGTCAACCTCCTCCTACATGTCTACCGGAACTTCGGAGAGCACTACTTTTTGAGTGGTGTAATATCGCCGAAGATCAGATCGATAATTTGATACTCAGCATGCCTAGGCGTTGTACGGACTGTATTGCATTGTCTGGGAGACATACAATGTATTAACAATCATACCAACCATGTAATATTGGTTTTTTGTAAATAGGTTTTTTGGTACTTACGTATTATCGCAACCAGGTTGTCACGATTTGTAAGTTTGAGTAAAAAAGTATGAATAGAAAGAAACTGTATTAAAAATTATCTGTATTAATTACAGATAATTTTTAATACAGTTTTTTATATTATTTTGTTTTAAAATATAAAATAGTAATTAAACCCTTCCGGTTTCGAATTTGAATAATTTGCAGAATTATTTTTTCGGCGGAAATCTTTTGGCTATTGCTTTTAGCACTGATTGAAAACCGTCATCGCCATTAACAGCTTGAGCTTGGAGACATATAAATTCGATAAGGTATGAGTCAAGATGATGACGGGCTGTTCCTCTCTGTTTTTTGTTGCGCCATTTGGCTGAGCCCAAGACGCGCTCTACATGTTGCGTGTGAACACCCGTGTTGGAATCCACAAAGTTATATTTGTGATTAACAGTTCCATGCAGAAATCCAGCATTTTCAAACTCACTTGTATTGTATCCTTTCCAGAAATCCGAATAAATGATGCTTCCTTCCTTGATATTTTCGCAAATTTTTTCCATGAGGGCAACGGCGCTTTTGTTAGGTACAGTAACCAAAAAAGTCTCTTTCTTTTCTCGGCAAATTCCGCCAAAAACCCATTGCTGTGGTAGTACACGCCCAGTGTTATTTTTTTCTTTTTACAAATAAACTTTTGTCTAAACACGTAGGGTTGCCGTAAGTAGGGTCGCCAAATTTGGCGATTTATGCGAATTTTGGCCTGGTTGCGTTAATACGTAAGTACCGTTTTTTTTTTTTGTAATTTGCTCAAGGGAGAAAAAAATTGCTAATTTTTTTTAATAATATCAAACATATAGCATCTTATTTTGCTCTTTACCTTTTGTTTAATAAATAAGCTTTACAAATAAGTCAAATTTGTTTTGCTTCTAACTCTTCCTTTGCCTGATTTTGCATTATCCTTAATTTATGGACATGAGTGTATATTCCAAGGCACATTAGGTGAATAATGGCTGCACTGTTAATTTATATTATTATGGATTTTAATTTTGCCTATATTCCACCAACTTTAGATGTAATGTATTATATGAGATATATTCATCATATATTAAAAAAAAATTACCAACAAGAGATTTTGAAAAAAAAAAAAAAAAAAAAAAGGCAATCACTTTGTTTTTATTAAAGGTTTCAGATTTTAACTTTGGCATCTGACTTTGCTCATCAACATTTAACATCTCCATGAAAGCTACTTGCTACATTTTAAACCATATGAATCATTATTCCTTGCCCATATTTGAGATAAACTTATTACTTATTATTGCAAAATGCTATAGTAATAAGAAGAATCAGCTTTTATAAAATGCAATATTTCATTTCATGCAGCATCTTTTTCACAAAATGTAGTAACTGAAAATCAAGTACAAGATTGCTGTTCTACACTCAAATTTATAAGGCACCGCTTATTAAATTATAAATATTTTACATTATAAAAATAACTGCATAAATTCATTATATATTGAAAGAGCATTATTTTTGTTAAGTGTATAAAACTCTGTCCTGGTAAAAATGATGGAAAAAAAGAACAGGAAGAATTTAAAACCAGTTGTTAGTCAGAGAAATAGTCAGAACCGGATTTAGACTTGATAAGGCCCAAAGTTATTTGAGATATGGGGCCCTTTTTAAGTCTGTTATACTATATTTTAATTTTTTTGGGGCACCCTCAGAAAGTGGAGGGGGGGCTAAGCTATAGCTTGTGTAGTCTATACAAAAGTCCTGCACTGGTAATAGTGTGTGAAATAAAAGATTTTTGTCTTTCATGAACTATATATTCTTAGAGTATTACCCAGGACTAAAGAGAAGGGCTAGCTCATAGAGCATTTCCCCCTGAAACAGGCAGTGAGGAGTGATGACGTAGCAATGATGGCACTGAGCACGGAGATGCAATTGACAACATAGAAATTAGCGTTTTAAATCTGAAGAATCAGCGTTTAAAATGAGCTGTGTGTGAAAGATAGCTATAATTTGGAAGAGAAAATGTTACTGCAGTATGCATTTTACACAGAACATTACAAAATTTAATAGTACTTACTCAATTTTAAAATAATAGATAAAATGCGCTACTCTTAGCCATAAATTTCCTTTTTTTATTTGCAGGATTTTTTTTTCTTTAAATGCCTGTTTTGTTTCTAATCATTTCTTTATCTGCATGGTAACTAAGAGAACTGTACTACTGCTAAGATAACTATAATAACAGCTATTTAAAATTAATAAAAAAAAATAACCTTAAATTGGCATAGTTTTAAACGTGTATGGTTATATATGGCAAAATTTCTGCTAATCTAAGTTTGAGTTTCAGCCTAATTGTAAATTTTACATTAGCATATTTTTCTCCCGATTCATTATAATAACATATATTTTTTTTTAAAATAATTTTGTAACTTAGGCTTACATCAATATTTCATTTAAATAAATACATGTAAGATTGTTATCTTAATTTAGACAAACAACTTTATTCACAGTACCTAAAATAATTATTTAATTTTTCAAAAGTGGGGGTTAAGGGGGCAGGTCTTCTTATGCCAATTACTTTAATATTATACATTATATATATTTTATCCAGAATGCTAAGCTAGCACAAAATCGAATCATTAATGACAGAGGATACAATAAAAATAACTGTAACAATAACTTAACAGAATTAGTTCTCATTTGAAATATGCTTTACGCTATTAACTTCTAAAATGCAATCTAGAAATATTTCAAATCAAAACATATTATATACTTACTTTTTGTCTCTCGTTTCCCTTGACCATTAAATAATTTGGTTTTAGTTTGTGGCACAATTTAATTCTCTTTAATAATATCAACATTTAAAACAGTTCCCTCCTCTAAAACAATCCTTTATCTAAAAAGTGGTTTTTCTCAGTAATTTGAGCCCACCAGAGGCCGAGCGGTAAAGTCGCTGAACACTGGTAGTTCGGTCCGAGGTTCGAATCCTCCCCCGAACGGGCTGGCTGCATGAGCGTTTTCGTGGTTTTCCCCACGTGTAACGTGTATACGAGCCAGTTTCCCTTAGAAAGCCCTCCACGAAAGGCATCCCTCCCCTTAGGCATAGCCCTAGTGTGCTTTGTCATAATTAAATACACCAACACTCAGTAATTTGAGGCAGTGCGCTAAATCTGCAAAAACCCATATTTTTTTCGTTTGGAATACTGGATTTGGAAAATGAGAACTATTACTCGAAATCTGTTACTCTTTCCACAAAGTAGTAGATCCTCCTAAATCAGACACTATTGCTTTCCACTTCTACTCTAGATGATTGAATATGTCTTATGAGTGAAAAAAGAAATTCTTTTCTCATTGGAGTGGTTAAAATCAAAAAATATTGGTTGTTTCCACTGCAAAATGAGACCTCTGATTAAAACAAACTGCACTTTTTGAAAAGGACCGATTTTGGTCCAGTTTAGAGTCATAGCAGAGTTTAGAATCTATGTGCATTTCGTCGAAACTGAGAACGCATATTTTTTCTACAGAATTCAAACATTGGCATCTTTCCTTCATTACAGCAAGAGCATCACTCTGAATTCCTGGACTACATGAAAATTTAGCGCACCATCTCTTTAATGTGCTAGTGCTAGGTAAAGGAATTCCCATTTTTTCTTTCCAAAAATCGTAGCTTTTTGATGACAGAGCTCTTATGACAATTTTTCCACTGGATTTTTTCCTTCTTTTCTAGCAATGCGTTAATCTACGTCTTTGTAAAAATATGCTTTAGACGTTTTTCCAAATTCTCCGATCTGTTCTGTTTTTTCCTAAATTTTGCTGTTTGGGATTTTAATTTCTGAATTTCCGATCAATTTCTTTCTAAATGTCGTCCACCTTCTTTGTCGCTGAGCAAACATTCTAAAATCTTTCTTTTCTCTATTTGTCAATATTTTTATTACAATTTTCTAAGGATATTATTTTGTTCTTCAAATTATCAATACATTCTTGTTTATCTTTACACTTAGGGCACTCAGGGATATTGTCACATAGTGCATTGTCACTTGTGAGTTTTATTTCAAAATCATTCACATTTGATTTATTATTGTCAGCTTCAATTTCGTTCCTCGGCCTCAAAATAAATTTTCTTTGGGCTTAATTCATGTAGTCTTTCAAAAGCACTCTGCATTAGATTTTCAAATGTCTCCGATTTCTTGGTGTTATTTTGTTTACTGCACACGATAAATTTACTTTCGGCACAGCATTGCATTTCAACAGTTTCTTTTGCGGCAATCCAAGCAAGCGATTTCTCATGTCATCTTCATAATCACTGCACAGAAAATGTTCACTGCAAATTCTTGCTTTTTTCACATTAATAGAATCCTGTCTTCGACATTTATGTATCCATTCTTTCGTCAAAAGCAAATTGTCCTTGGGGAAAGCATGAAATACAATATCTCTTCCTTTCGTATTTCTATAAGTGTTATGGCACGTTGCTACAGCACAAGAAGCCATATTACATAAAGGATACTTTAAATATAGAATTTAAAAGGAAAACTGACTAAAACTATATATACACAAATTATTTTAAATATTTGCATTATTAGAAAACAAATATGTATGATTAAAATTAATTTGGGATATGCGATCTCTAGAAAATCGTCTCGCAACTGAATGAAACTACAGTTTTAAAGGCGCGAAATCAGAGCAGGTGCAACAGAGATACGTCAGATAACTTCCGGTTCCCCCCCTCTATGAGACTCGCGTCAGCGAGGAGTCGAACAAAGGAATGACCTAGCCCTTCTATTTATCCCTGGTATTACCATTCAATAAAGCATTAACTCTTTGATATTTAATCAGTCTCTTACTGGTTAACTAACTCCACAATTCAAACGCAATGCATTGCTATTGTACAAAATTAAAAAACTTCTAATTTATTTTTGAAGCATCCTCCCACATAGCTAGTTTTCAGTATGCTGCCATTTAGCAAAGCATAAGAATTTTAACTTACCTCACAAATTTAATCAGTGTTATTATTAATAAACTAAGTAATTTAAAAGCAAAAATATGCACTATTTAATTATTTAAATCTTAATTTTACTTTTTTAATAACACATCTAACTGATATAAATGAAAATACATACAAGTGATAATTTTTTATGAACATATTCAGCTTAACTGTAATTAAGAGAAATCTTTCTTTTGCCATACATTTTGAATAATCTTTTCTTTAAAATATTAAATTGAAATCAAGTTTTCAGACAGCAAATTTATTAAATTTTTTTAAACTATTTTAATCATACCCTTGGTTTAAAGTACTATAATCCATGATTTAGAGTTTTTATAATCTACTAAGATTGTATTTCTAAAAATATGTAGCAATTAGAATTACCCAGCAACAATAAAAAAAAAGTTAAATGAATCATGTAAAATACAGTGAAAATCATTTAACATGAAAGTGAGGGGACTGAAATATTTTTTCGTGTTAAACGGTATTGGGGGGGGGGAAACATATATTCAATAAAATTAAGTTTATTAGAGTACATACGTACTTAATAAAAATCAACGAAACAAAAACATCCACAAGAACTTTATGAAATTTAATACAACATTTTCAAGTTTTTTGAAAAACAAAACATTGATTGAGTTTTTGGAAAATAATCTGATATTTTCTTTGCATTGTCTTTTTTAGCATCACGTTATTAACAAATTGTTCAATGTCGACTATTTTGTTATTAATTTCACCATTGGAATGTGTGTCTAAATAACTGCACGTACTCTTTATGATGTTCCTCATTTTGGATGACGTGGGAACAGGAGCTGCATTATTCATTAATGATATTTTTTTAGCTTTCAATAAACTCCCAAATGTCTTTGTCTGCCATAATTGGGAGTGTACACACATTATCATCAACTACTGCAACGAATTCTTCTGATAATACAGTAGGACAGTCCATTAATACAGAAACTTTCTCAAATATTTCATTAAGTGTCAGCTTCGTTTAAATATCCTCCTTCTCCATTTCTTTTGTCGCCAAAGAATTTGATACTTTTGAGAGTCGTGCATGATGAAAACAATTTTCATTCGTCCTTGGAGTCACTGAATTCCATGCAGAGTACAACATATGAAGAGACAGAGACATGCAGAGTGCAACATATGAAATAAACTCGCTGATTTTTACTCACACTGCGATGTACTCGTTATCGGATTTAAAAGACAGCTGTTGAGAGATGAGATGTTTGAGTGGTGCTTGTAGGGGTGGAAGGCAAAAATAGCTTAGATAAGCAAAACTGACTCGTGTTGCATGCTATTCCGAGGGTATTTCAAAGCCAAGTTAGCCTCCTTTTTACGAAACATGGAAAAACCACCTCTCTTTCATTTCACATGCTGCGTAAATCTCGCCTATGAGAGCGGTGTTTTCCATACTTTGTTCACTCCCAGAAAGGATATCTTTTTGTGTTAAGCAATTTTTGTTTCATGTTAAGAGAAACAAAATACATAGTAGTTTGTCGGTACTGTTACATTATTCGTGTTAACCGATATTTCTTCTTAAGCATTTTCGTGTTAAGCGTATTCCACCATAAAAGCAAGGAGATGGAGACTGCATGCCTGAATATAGGCAATTATGCTACTCAGTTTAAGAGCAATTTATACTTAAATTACATAAACCTTTTCAGAAAAGAAATTTTGCAAGATTATATTATGAAGCTCAGAAAATAAAAGTGTTATAAAAATGGTAACAAAATAACAAATGTGTTAGATTAGTGCATTGAAAAAAAGAAAAGTGAAGAAAAGAAATATGTAAAAAATAAATTATGTATGTTATTTCATAAAACACATAAAACAGTTCTCTAATGAAAAAATCATTGTATGTGTTTTTTAGGATTTAAATTAAGTATACAGGATGATTCAAAAGCCAATAAACATGTATTTTGTGAAATAAAGAGTTAGCAAAAAATAAAGCACAGTTTATGAAAATTTAGGAAGCAAAAATCACTTTTAACCCTTCAAGCATTACACATTTAGTCCTGAGTCCTGAAATTCTTAAAAGTTCCTCAAAATGTGACGAATAAATGGCATTTTCTTGATTGTAATTGAAAAAAAAAAAAAAAAAAAACTCTCACTTTGTACCTTGATTCCTTTTTTTCCAATATACATCCAACCCAATATCAGATGTACAAGTATTCAATGCTAGCAGAAATTTTCATGTATAATGAATGTGAAAAACCATCCTTCCATACAGAATTTTACGTCCATAACACTGAGAGGGTTAATACCACAAATTAAAAAAGATAATAGAATTATCACTGAACAGAACAAAACAAACAAACAAAAAACTTTTTTTTAACAATTTAATAAATTCGCTAAAATGCACAATATTAAATTTACACAGAATGCAATTTTTTAATAAGTTTGTGTTTTATTTATTCTCTCAAATAACCTTAAGTAACCTACTTACAGCCCCAGCTAAGTCTATATCTGCATACTTCCTTATTAAAGCATCAACAATAGAAAAATGACCAGCTTTTGCAGCATGAATTAAGTTAGTATCCCCATTTCTGTCAGGAAGATTGATGTATGCTCCAGCATTCATGAGTGCTTTAGCTATCTCGGTATAACCTTCTTTACATGCAATGGATAATGCCGTACAGCCATCCTAAAAACAAAAAGTTAAACATGAAGTTATTTTAGCAAAACATTTTATGAAATATTTTCTAACTGAGCTTAAAGATACATCAGCACTATTTTCTTACAGAAAGCAGAACTTTCTGATGTTTCAATACAAAGTCAAAAAATGTAATCAATTTTCAAATAGTTTTGCAAATATGTACCAATTCTTATGTTTACAAGAAAAGAAATTTTTCAATAGAAGCACTCGCTCTCCTACAAGATAAATCAAATTTTCCTGGTATGCTTTCAGCTACATGTTTCTCTTTTATGGGTAAACAATAATTAGTCATACATCTTAAGTATTTCATATACCAGTAAATACAAGGTAACCAAAAAAATTCTTGCCATTTTGGACAGTCAGAAAGAAAAAGTCATAAAACAAATAATAATCACCATTAATCCTCAAAGTAATCACCATCAGCATCCCGTGCCTTTTGCCAACAAGTGGCTAGCTGTGCGATGCCATTGCAGTAAAACTCAGGAGTCTTGGACGGAAAGAAGTCCGTAAGGGCCTTTTCAAGGTCTGGCTGGTTGTTGAAGGATTTCCCATGAAGATGGTTGTCCAGAGAATGGAAAAGGTGATAGTCTGTTAGCACGAGGTCTGGGGAGTATGGTGGATGGGGTAGTGTCTCCCAGCATAGTCGTTGGGTGGTATCTCTGGCCTCCCAAGCCACATGCAGCCTCGCAATCTTATGGAGGTACCCATGGAGGTCAATGGTCATGGAGGTCATGGTGATTGACCTTACGATTGACCAATACTGGCTCTTTATGCATCAGTGCCTGATGCACACAGGCCTGCCATGATGGTTTGGCTTACTGGCAGGAATTCATTAGTACCCCACTTGGCGACTAGTCCACCAGACACAGAATATGATCTTATGTGGGTGGAGAGAAGGTCTCACAGTGTGAGGCACAGGGTCCTGTGGTGAAAACAAATGTCAGGAATGCATGGATGTGTCATACTGGACCCACTTTTCTTCGGTGGTGAGTACTCGATCAAATATGGATGCAATACGGTGCCGAGTAAGAAATGACAAACAGGCAATGACCCGCTGCTGCCTGTTTGCATTGGACAGTAAGTGGGGTACCCACTTGCTGTGCTTGTATGCCTTTCCTATGCAGTGCAAATGGAATCTGATCATTTCATCAGATACCTGGAACTGTGCAGCAAGCTCATTACGTGTTTGTCTACTGTCACTCTCTATGGTTGCTCTCAGGACCTCATCGTCCAGCGCTTGTGGCCAACCACCGTGTGGTGCATCTCTAAGAGACATATCCCCTGACTTGAACTTGAACTATTGCCTAGTGGTTTGTTCATTAATGGCACCATCCTCAAAGGCCTGGCAAATTTGGCAACTTGATTCTGCTGCTGACAGGCCCACTTTAAAATCAAAGAGCAAACTACTCCAAGCAAGCACCTTTGGCGCGTCCATTTCAATCAGTCGCTGCGTGAGTTATCTTTGAAATACCGATGCAACACAATTTTATACTCCTGCTCAATGCCTGGACTCCCATCCTAACCACTTCATTGCCAGATTTAGTGATTATTTTTATGTTAGGGTTCACTTTTCATGTGTCATATCAGAAATGGCAAGAACTTTTTTGTTTACCTTGTATATAAAAATAATTCATATTTTAATAAATATGGCTGCTGTAAAATAAAAACAAGTCAAATGTACAACCAGCATAAACTGCCCATATAAAATTTTTTATTTAAGACAAATTTCCTATCTTCATCTGCTATAAAATATGCATTCATTTATTTTTAGTAAGATAATGCCACGTTAAGCCACATTAATGAGCTGCACGGGTCACATACAGCCCATGAGCCCTACTAAACTGTTGTTCCCATAAATAACTCAGTTCTTTAATATTTATACAGTCAAAAGTCGTTAATCTGGACTCATCGGAACTTCGGCAATTCCGGATTATTGATCATCAGTTTAAATCTGGTAAGATGGCATGCAGAAATTACAAAATTAAAAATATGAAACCGTAATTTATGAAATAAAGAACAATTATGATCTAAAGGGTATCAAAATTTACAAAAAGAAAAAGCTTAATATTTATCTGTTTACTTTATTAAACATTTCTTTCAATGTAAGTTGTTTAAGTTGCTTCGTTTTATGTGATAATACTTTCTCTTTAATTCTATTAAACAGACATAATTTCTTGTTTAGTTACAAAGTTCCGCTGTTCAAGTCTTTTAATTGCTGTGTCGAGAATACCAACTAATTTGTCAATCGAAATTTTTTCCTTTTCAATAACCTCTGTGTCACATTCTTCACTATCGGAAGCGAATTATAATGACGAGGAACTTGATTTAAATCATATCAAAGACGGAGATGAAATACTACATTTAGTAAGGAATTATAAGCCAAATACAATAAAAACATCTGGCCTGAAGATAAGGATAGTGATGACAGATCAACTTCCAATTCATTGCACGCTGCGGCGTTTCTTCCCCCCCCCAGGCCACAGAGCAATGTGAAATTGATAAACAGATTTCGGATTTCGAAACATACTTTCACTTTGTAGATCCTTTACATATTAGTAAATATATATCAGAAATTCTATTTGACATAATCGAAAGTTCAAGCTTACTTTTATAAAATTGCTCTAACAGTCTGCAAAAAATAATAAGCCGGATCCAATTCGAAGATTAAGGAACAATGCAATCTGCAACATTAACTGAATTAGATAATTTTAGCTCAGCTTATACCATCCGTTATACATTAAACGCGCATGCGTAAACATATTATGCTCATGCGCACACACATATTCGCATCCATAAAGGTCTTACACGCACGCGTAAATGCGTATGCGTCAACACGACGCATGCGCAGAAAGTTTGTAGCTTTGAGGTCCGGATTATAGATCATTCCGGATTATGGGTGTCTGGGTTAACGACTTTTGACTGTACTACTTATTTTCCATAAAACATGAATTAAACTTCTCAGTATTCTAAAATTAAAATAACATTTTGAATCTATTTTAGTTTGGTTCAATGCTTTCATATTTTACTTTCATACTTCAAAATTTGATAACAGTGATACAATGCATTTGAAATTTATAATATTGGTGTTAGTTAATTTAATTGTAAAAGAATTCGGTGAATAAAATTTTTAATTAAAGGAATATAAAGAGAAAGTTATAAAAAGCTAACTAGTCATTAATTTTGACAAAGCATTTCAGGTTTATCTGCTTTAAGATTCTACTTTTTTTAAATAAAGTAGTGATATGGGGAAAAAAAATGAAATTCTGTATGATCAATTTGGTTTACCAGGAATTAACTCTATAAGTATTTTTAAGTTTCAGTTGACTTGGCAGCTGTAGTTATTATCAATAGAAATTAAAAAATTGCAGGATAAATTTTAAAGCATTTGATAAATACTTTTCATTCATTTATTGAATGCATAGTTCAATTAATAAGCATTATTTTTATTTAATCAATGTAAGTGCTTTTGACCTCCATGTTTCTGCCATAAAATACAGGGTTTGAGAAAGACATTATAGAATTTATTTATGATTTTGCTTATTTATAGTTCATTTTTTGGGACATAAATTATAGAATCTTTTTCTGTTTCCTCTTTTCAATGAGTTAACTTGACCAATATTGCACTGAGATTAATTATTTTATAATTGACTGTTCTCAATTTAAAACCAGTTTGAAGTTTCAATCAAAATCGAGTTTCTTTAGTTAGAATGCCATTATTCAAGAGATAAAGCAGGAACCCTTAAAAAATAACAATACCAAATGATGAGTGAGTGCAGCACATTACCATGTCAACTGCATTAACATTGGGTTTCTTCTCTAAGAGCATATTAACTATGCTAACATAGTTTCCTTTAGTTGCCACAAGAAGTGGAGTCCAAGAAAACTACAAAAATGAAAAATTACAATTAAAAATGTAAGAATTTCACTGACAAAATTAATCTGGAATTCAAGCAACTTTAAATTATGTTGTAAAATTTTTACCATTCCTGCAGTATCAACATTAGCACCAGCATCCAGCAAAAGTGGAACAATTTCAGTATAACCTTTACGACATGCCCACACAAGAGGTGTAGTCCCATACTGAAAGAAAAAAAGATTACAATGTCAATTCTTAATTATTGTACATACAGAAATAGGATATTAACATGAAAATCACCTAGCTGTTTTAAGATACAATCAAAATGAATAATCTGTCAAAATATTTGCTTAAACAACTAAAGGAATAGCTAGAAAATATTCTCCAAAACAATTTTTCAAGAAAGCGTAAAGTATTATTATTTACATTATTTTTCACTTGAGAGTAAGGGTACAAATCTAGTACACTAGAACCTTGATTATCTGAAGTGACCGTAATCAACTTGGATAATGGAAAATTTAATTTATAGACACTACATTTTTTCTCTCGAAAATGTTTTCTAAAATTGTTTATCTGAAATTTTAAAAATGAGTGCATAAAAACCATTATTAACATTTTAACAAACACTTTATAATTTAATGCATTACTATAAAAAATATTTTTCTCTTTTTCTTACACAACTTTAGTTAATATAATTTGTCTCCTTTGATTAAACAAACCATCCATGCAAGATTTTATTTCATGACAAAATATTCATAAAAAAACTGGAATAAGCAAACTTGATTCAAAACTTTTCAACTATTTGAAATTTGTCCAGTTTCTTATATGCATTTTTAAACAATATTATTATTATTTTAAAGATATCTATTACCGTTTTTGTGACATTCCTATATCATAAAGAATGACATACATCTTTAATATAAAAAATAAGATAAAAATTTAAAGGTGCACATTAAACGCTGTACGGTACGTATTCGAGAGGTCCGAGATTCAAGTCCGGGCAAGGGCATTAACTAATTTTTCATGACTTCTGCTTAAAAAAAAAAAAAAAAAAAAAAAAATTCTAATGACACTACAGTGGTACCAGAACCAAAAACAAAGGTGGTGGATGATGATTCTCCACCACCAGGATTTGGCGATTGGGTCCCCTAATCCCCCAGTGGCCCTTTAAAAAGGGAGTATATAAGTATTTCTCCCACCTTCTTAGCATGCCTTCATGGTGTAGTGGTCAGGACACTCAACACGTATTCGAGAGGTCCGTGGTTCAAGGTCCTAGCAAGAGCATTGCCCATTTTTCATGCCTCCTCCTTCGACAATAACCTAATATCTCTACAAATGCACATTTATTCTTTGGCATGTTAATTACTATGATTTCATTTTTCTTCCACTCATGTATGTAGCTTTCATTAATATCAAACATCCTTGATGCAGCATGATTTATATTTTTGTTTGCAAAATGAATCACTTTGCATATGAAATGAACACTATGTTTGCTTCCTATAGAAGGAGCCATATTTACTGCTAAAAGAACACTAGATAGATCAACTGTATTTCAACTAAGGAAAATGCAAGTTACTAAAGACTTCGGTATTTACTTCAAAATCATGGCTTTAAAAAACATGTGATGTCTAATTCATTGAATTCATTCAGGTCAGAAGTACATTGTCATCCCAAATTGTGTCTTTTTCTTGAAAATCTAGAATACCAGTCTTGTGCATTTCTGCACTGAATACAACCCACCTGTTTGCAGAATTATTTACTCCTTCAATCATTTCATCCTCACACATATTGTTCCCCTTATTGCCTGTCAATTCAATATTGTTCAAAACCCTGAGAAAAATCTTCAAATGAATGACTTCAAAAGATAAGAACATCACACAAGTACATTTCAGGTTTCTTTGTAAAGAAAAGGGTGCATGATAGACCACAAATATATTTAAAAATTAAAAAAAATTAGTTTGAAAATATAGATGTCCTTTATATGCTGGAATATATGCTAGTCTATTCACTACAGCCCAATCATGCATATTTCAATAAACAAAAGATCTATAGAAAAAGTATCAAGGGACTGCTCTAAAAGAACTAAAGAACTTTGCTCAAGGTTTTCATTTTCAGGTTTCTTTTTTTAAAGGTTACTTTTGCAGTACAGTGGTTAAAGAACAATAATTCAATTTAGGAACATTAAAAATGAAAAACAATTGCCTGTGAAAATAAGGATCACAAAGTGAGATAAAATAAACAGATAGTTATAATGCTATAATGCATTTGACTATATGAGAGTGAGACAAACTGACTGAGACCAAGCATGGGAGAGGATTACCCATACACCTGCAATAATAGAGACAGAACCCACCAGCTGGGTTTTGACAATGTGATACTAAGTGTATATAGTCTTTAATCCGGACTCATCGGGACTTCGGCGATGCCGGATTATCGGTTTTTCCGGATTATAGATCATCAATTTAAATCTGGTAGGATGGCATGCAGAAATTATAAAATTAAAAATATGAAACCGTAATTTATGAAATAAAGAGCAATTATGATCTAAAGGGTACCAAAATTTACAAAAAAAGTTTAATATTTATAAAAAAAAGTTTTGTTTACTATATCAAACATTTCTTTCAACGCGCGCATGCATAAAGCATACATTACGCATAGTCTAAATTAGAAAATTGCAACCAGATATTTGATGTGTATTCATGATATTTATAATGGTGCGGAATTTGATTTAAATCATATCAAAGACTGAGTACATCAAGATGAAATACTACATTTAGTAAAGAATTAAAAGCCAAATAAAATAAAAACATCTGCCCTGACGATAAGGATAGTGCTGACAGATCAACTTCCAGTTCATTGCGTGCCGCAACGTCCCCCCCCCATGAAATTGATAAACAGATTTCGGAATGGTTACAGAAACAAAGGATATGCCTTTATCCATTTTTTGCAGCAATTCCACTTTTTGTTTGATAGACATCAAAACATGCTTTCGCTTTGTAGATCCTTTGGCAGCTCCAGAATCAGAAATTCATTTTGACATAATTGAAAGTTCAAGCTTACTTTAATAAAATTGTTCTAACAGTCTGCAAAAAATAATAAGCCGGATCCAATTAGAAGTTTAAGGAACAACGCTAAATGAAATAGATAATTAGATAATTTTAGCTTAGCTTATACTGTCCGTTATAGTACATTAAACGCGCATGCTAAAGGTCATATGCGAATGCGTAAACGCATTATGCATTTACGCATGCGCAGAAATTTTGTAGCTTTTAGGTCTGGATTATATATCATTCCTGATTATGGACGTCCAGATTAAAGACTTTTGACTGTATATATATATATATATATTCTTGTTTATCAATTCATTAACCCTTTGCCAGTGTTGCCTGAGTCCAGCATGGGCAACTACTACGTGCTGTATTTGTGATGCCCAGACTGACTTTGGGCAGATGAAAAATAGGTTTTTCTGTTTTGTGAAGCCCGAACCAAGTATGTTTTCATTTTAGGATATTCATTTCAGACTTAATTCATTATTTTTATAATAGATGGCATTACTGGTCCTACCTTTTCATGGATTTCAGCTGGGGGAAGATGTGGGCGCATTCAGCTGCTCATCTAAAGAAAGACACGTGTTGGGTTTCAGTTGAGAGTGAATTTTAAACCAAAAAGTTTTCTTTTTTTGCAATGTTCAATTCAATCATTGATGAGAAACATAGTTTAGGTTCTTCGAGATCAAGTAGAGTATTATATGGGTTTGTATGCGGCACAGTGTTTCCACATATATCACACTGTAAAAGATTTTCAAAATTGAATATTCAAAATTATATTGTTGTATTAACATTGATTTATATTTAGCTTCAAAATTTTGTTTAATTTGCTGTAATTGAATCACAAATGTCTGTAATCCATTACTTTTTATGTGTATATCAAAATAATACAGTAGTTATTACATTTAAAATTTCGTTTTTTTTTTTTTTTTTTTTTTTTTTTTTTTTTTTTTTTTTTTTTTTTTTTTTTTTTTTTGTTTTTTTTTTTTTTTTTTTTTTTTTTTTTTTTTTTTTTTTTTTTTTTTTTTTTTTTTTTTTTTTTTTTACTAAATAACAATTTTGTAACTTTTATATTGGCATACAGAACAAAACCAAACAGTTAAAAAAAATTTCTAGTTTTGGTGCATTTTCTGAAACAGATGCCATGGTTAAGGGGTTAAAAATATTGCTCATCTTGCAAAATATTTGTTAACAAAATTATTAACAATATAAGGCCATTATATGACTTCCCACTGATAGGCTAAAAAGATCAATCTAGTAAGAGAATTCATAACTGTTATTGACTTTTGCTGTTCCTTTTCTGAGGTTATTTTATTTCCCCCATTATTTCTTTCAACTGACTGCTGGCTTGGTTCTTGCAGATCTCACTTGATAAAGGCCTGATTAACAGAGATTTTGCTCCATTTATAATAAAGAGTATGTCTTTAGAAATCTCATGATATATTTTGTCTATTTCTTATTTATTTTACTTGGCATTTAATAAAAGATACAAAAAATTATATTTGGGTTTTTAATTATTCATAATGAATCCAAAAAGAAATCACACTTTTTAAATAAAAAGCAAAATATGTTATAGTTTTCTAAAAAAATCAGATATTTTATTTAAGACATGCTCTTTTGCATCATCCACTGCATTACAGGACATTAAGCAATGCATGGATCTCGCATATCCACCTTTGGAACTGAATCAATGACTCTTGTCATACCTTGCATAACATTAATATCATTGTATACTACTCACTCCCTCATCACCAATCTCCTTCACATAAACACTAACCTGGAGAAATAAAGTGAATGTTAATATGTCAAATAGCAGGAACATAATATATATGAAAATACCAGTTAGCAACTGGGTGTAACATATACACAAAATTTCCTTTCTTTGTTATTCTCATTTAAATTACCTTGAAGATAATTTAGAGACCTTCATAAAAAATAAATACAGGTTTTATTAAGAAATACAAAGAATAGATAACTAAGCATAAAGGGAAAATAACTGTGTAAAATTGGAGGATATTCTTTTTTATTATTGTTTTGTTTCAAAATTAGACTTCGTTTTATATCCAATTTATTTCATTTATGAGCACATATAGATAAATGTGATTATTTACATGTAGAGTTTAGTATAAAGATAAAGTGATCCATACATCTTAATGATGAAAAACATTCAGTATTTG